ATTTTTCTAAGGAATATGCTCTTCTTGCCGTGGGTGCCCTCTTAAGTTGCTGACTGGAATTGGTGGAAAGATCTTGGGATGCAAGGCTGGCAGCATCATTAGCTCTGTCTCCTTGTAGTGACCTTCCAAGGCCAGCTTAGCTCCAAGGAAACAAGGTCCAACACTCACCAGTGTCTAGTGGGTAATAGGAAACCTAATTCAAACATGTAAAGGCAAAGTATCTGGTGACACAGACAAGAAAACCATTCTCAATAGGCTGGAGTGTGCTAGAAGGTTTGAATATGTTATACCTATTCAGTTCCCATAAATGTGTATTAGAAGTGTTTTTACTGGTAACAGAGACAAGATAAAAGTAAGTTAGTTTAGCTGAAGTTTAATGTCCTGTATTCCAGCCACACCATAGTATATCATGTAACACTGAGTCTAGTTTTCCATTTTTTCTGTTGTTTGTTTTTTGTCATAGTAGGGCTTGAACTCAGGATTTTCACTATCTTGACTTTGTGACATAGCTAGTGCTCTGTCACCTGAGCCATACCTCCAATTTTATTTTGTGCCAATCCTGGGGCTTGAATTCAAGACCTGGGTGCTGTCCCTGAGCTGCTTTTGCTCAAGGCTAGTGCTATACCATTTGAGCCACAGCTCTACTTCTGGCTTTTGAGTAGTTTATTGGAGATAAATTTTATGGACTTTCCTGTCTGGGCTGGCTTTGAACATCAGTCCTCGGATCTTAGCTTTCAAAGTAGCTAGGATTACAATTAGGAGCCACTGGTGCCTGGCTTCCAGCACTAAATTTGCCGGTTATTTTGAGGATATAGTCTCACAGAATTCTCTGCCACAACTGCTGTCTGTTGCTTCAGAACTCAATACTGTTGAATAGCTAGAATTACAGGTTTGTGCCATCACCACCCTATTTTTTTTCTTAATGTGGAGACTTCATGATGTTCTTCCTTAACAATCTTTGAGAAAGTAGGTTGTATGTGTACAGTTTGGAATGGACTTATGTCAGTGAAAGAAGATGCCATAAGAAACCTATAGATACATGTATTTTAGAGATTTAATATTAGAGACTTTGCTAAAGAAGTCCATCAAGTATATGGTGTTTTTTCAGTGGATAATATGGAATTATCTTCTACACAGATTAAAGTTTGGGAAACCTACACAGAAGGAACAGTTACAGTATTAAAGTCTTCCCTATAAAGAATCCAATCAAATACTGAATTCAGAATTTCTAACAAAGTCAATGGCAGAATAAGTGAACAAAAAAGAAAAGTTACAGAAACTAACATCTTGTCATGCCTACCCAGGTTTCTGAGTCTAGAACTCTTAAGGACCAAGTATGTCAGGATGCTACTTTGAAAAAAATACTTAACATCCTTTATACTTTTGTGCTTTATTCAGCCCACAAAAGTTAATTCGTTTTTTTATAATTTTTCAATTGTTTGTGAGACTTGAACTCTGGGCCTGGGCGCTGTCCCTGAGGCTCTTCAGCTCAAGGTGGTTGCTCTACCACTTGAGCCACAGCACCACTTCTGGCTTTCTGGTAGTTAATTGAATATAAGAGTTTCATGGATGCTCCTGCCTGGGCTGGCTTTGAACTGCGATCCTCAGACCTCAGCCTTCTGATCACTTTTTATTTATTTATATTTGTGGTACTAGTCCTGGGGCTTGAACTCAGGGCTTGGGCACTTTTCTTAAGCTTTTTTTTGCTCAAGGCTTGAACCATTGCTACACTTCTGTCTCTTTGCAGGTTAAGTATAGAAATAAGTGTCTTAGGAACTTTTCTGCTCAGACTGGCTTTAAACCATAATATTCAGATATCAGACTCCCGAGTAGCTAGGATTACGGGCTAGATAAAAGTTCATTCCTTTTTCCCCTTCCCATCCACAAATTATACCGACATCAAATACAGTGAAAGCAGGGGTTATACTGTGGGGGAGGGACATACAATAAATAGGGATACAGGTGGACCCATTGTAACAATGAGATGTACAAGTTGTTATGTCGAAAACGAACTTTACAACTTTGGTGCGGGGGGGGGGGGGGGGGGGCGGGGAAGATTGGGTGGGGGGGGGGGAGGAGGATCAGAAGGGATGGGAAGGGGAAACAAAAGAGGAGGCTACAATGCTTGATAAGGAATGTACTCATTATCTTGCCCATGTAATTGTAACTCCTCTATACAGTATTTTCACACACAAAAAAAAGTTCATTCCTAACATTCAATTGATTCCTTAGTCCTTCTGAGGTATTAAGTCTATTCACTTAAATATTAACTACTGAGGACAAAAAAATACTATTGATTTGGGAAAATCAGAAATAATTCTAATTATTAGTACGACTCTCAGGCAGGGTATAGGACATAGGCTTACTCTTGTAATCTAGTTACTCAGGAGTCTGAAACTTTTGGATCATGGTTTAGAACCAGCCTGAGCATGAAAGCTTATGAGATTTATCTCTAATTAAGCACCAAAGCAGCTGGAAGTGGAGTTGTGGTTTAAGTGACAGAGTAGTAGCTTTGAACAATAAAGCTCAGAGAGCGCACCCAGGCCTTGAGTTCAACCCTCAGTACCAACACCCAAATAAGTAAATATATTAATATCAATACCTGCCTTTCAAAGCTGGTACAGTAAACCTCAAAATATAGTTTGTTATGAGGGCTAAATGTAATTTGTAGTAAAACCTCAAAGTTTGTTCCTGTTGATGAGTGTGGGTACCATCTGAAGAGGCACATTAGTGTGCTCTAAGCTTTTATGCCACACTAATCTATTTAATCAAAGCTCTGTAGAAGTTTTTCTGAGGACGCCCTTTGCTTCTGAAGAGCGAATTACAAGCATGATTCCATCTAACAGCATGAGGTTTTAAAAGAGAATGCACTTCGTTTTTATTCCCTGGATAATGACTTTAAAATCACTTTGTACTTGAAAAAAAAAGAAAAACTAAACTTAAAAGTGACTTTGCTTACATGGCTATATTTAAAAGTTACGTGGGGTCTACAAAGTTGGAGCTCTTTGCCATGCTGTTCATTTGTTCAGAAAACTCTTTTAAAATATTAACTTTTTCTATATGTTTGCAGGATATTTGAGAGTGGGAGTACATACTTCTTATATGGCTTTTCAACATAGATGGTAACTGTGTGGCCAGATGAGCTTTTTGGGCAAAGTCAAGTGATAAGTCCCAACAAATCTTCAGCAGTTACAACAGATGCCCTTCCTCAACTGCTCTGCCATGTTTCTACCGAAGAAACTAGCTTTTCAGAAAAGTACAGCTCCCTCTGTGCAATCTGAAATATCTTAACATCCCAGACAGAAGAACAATATATTCCCAAACAAAATAAACTAGAGCTATGATCTGCGAAAAAAGTATAGTATTTTCATTTTGTCTGATCTGTAATTATAAGATTTTAAATATGATGCCTCCTCTTACCCCTTCCCTTAAAGGTTGATCCCAGAATTCATTAAGGGCTCTTAATGAATTCTTTTAATCTACCAAGTGGAGTCCCACAATACCCAACACTGTCTTGCTTTCTCTGTATTTTTTTGATGTCATATCATCATTCCCGACATGCTAGTAATAAAATCAATGGTGGTCCATTTTCAGCACAATTCATTTAACCCTGAGTGGCAAATTACCAGTAGCTTGTTTGCATAACAACTTGTGGATGAGACAAATTTCATGCATTGAAAATAAACAATACTGATAAGAAAACTGGACTGAAATAAAATGAGAAAATGTGTAGAAACTGTGTATATGCCACAAAACATATGCCCAGAAGAGTACACCTGCCCTTCAAAACAAAAGACACTTCTAAAATTTAGCCAATATCAAGAGCATGTTTAATTAGGTGACATGTGGAAGAGAATGTAAACTTTATAATAATCCAACCAATGAGGAATTGCTGGAAGAATTAACACATGCTAGGTACAAAACTGCTTTCTGTCATCTCCTATCAGACACCATCATCTTGAAAGAGTGCCCTTTCACTGCCCTTTCTGTCTTTGAGTTTGTCCTTTCAGCTTGGATGGGTGAGTATGTTTCTCACATAATCGAAACTAAGTCTAGATAAGAAGCCATGTACAATGGCATTTTGTAGAATGTGGACTATAATTCAAATTCTTAGGCCCACCCAAATTTGCTAAATTTCAATCTCAGACTTCCAAATCTGCAGTTAGAAATATTCCAGAAAAATGTAAGAGTAAATTATCAAATGTACATACAAGATGCAGTCTACCAAAATCAAGTTTTGGGGGGAGGGGATGGAGTATGGTTGGAGGAATGTAGGAGGTGGGGGGGGAAGGGATAGGGGAACAACAACAAGGGAAAGAGTAACAATGATTGACTTGTAATGTACTCACTGCCTTACTCTAGTAACTGTAACCCCTCTGTACAGCATCTTTACAATAAAATAAAATCAAATAAATAACAGAAAAATCAATGGCTACTCTGACTAGCACTGAAACTGTCTGCCTGAGATCTCTCTTTCTCTTCCTGTCTTCTTCCCTGCTACTCACAGCACAGTGCAAATGAAAGCATACGGTCCAGCAATCAGCACAAAGTCCCAGGGAGAAAATATGGAAGAAGCCCCATTCCATAAAAACTGCCCTCCCATAGGACCCAATTTGACACCTTTTGGGACTCCTCTGCAGAGTGTCAGTGTGTCCTTATTTTCTGAGTTTTCCTTTCCCTGTCAAATAAACTTGCTCTGTCTGCTAAAAATAATTTCCTGCCTTTCACTTCTTCAACGCGTAGAGAGAATGACTCCATATCCTCAAATCGCATCAATGCCAACTGTTACAGATTGAAAATAGCAAATGATCATCTTTAAATATATACTCAATATATACTGGGTATCAGCCATCCATTTCTAAGAGGAAAAAAATCAATTAGGAGATCCTCTCAAAGACTGAACTCATGTTGTATCTTTGTAGTTGGTAATATTTTTCAATGCATTACATCTTTTATTAGCATATGGAGAAAAATAAGACACTAGGGAAAAGGGGACTCACCACTTCTTCATGTCTGCATTTTCTCACATTAATCCCATTTATCTGCAATGAAAAGAAAAGCATAGTGTCATGTATTACAAATTGACTTTGTATGTTGGTTGCATATGAATAATAATGACAAGATGAGTACCTGTAAAATTGCATCCCCAATAAAGAGCAGTCCCGAAAGTTCCGCTATGAATAAAAAAAAAAAGATGGCATATTGACTTGTTTCCTCTGACAAATTAAGAATGTATTTTTAATTAAATGTAAAACCGACAGATTAAAAAAGTGTTATTTGGCTAATATTTTAAAGATTCACTGAAAATTGGAATTCTAAACAATAAGATGATTTGGTTCACTTATATTACTGAAACTCATACAGTTTTATTTAGTCTTTTTTTAAAATTTAATTCTAGTTTTATCTTAGAATTACAAAAACATCATCACTTTTAGTTTTCTTATGTATTTGTAACTAGAATATGTCTATAGCATCCAACCTATCAGCTGTGACAGGAGTTCCAAGGTAGTTTATGAAGATTACATTGTTTTACTGATTTTATTTGCAGTTTAAGAGTGAAACAACTTCTTTGTATTTTTATTGTATTTTCTAGAAGAAGCTTCATAAGAAGAACTAATTGGATAAAATTGTGCACAAAAACTGAATGAAAAAGTTTTTGGAAATATCTTTTCTACATATTTTTAGCCTTAGTTTTGTTCCTCTATTTACCAAAACAACTGAAAAGCTTTGCAGTCTTCAAATCATACAAGATCACATTGTGTTCTTACTTTGACCTAGATTCCTTTCTGTGAAAAAAATGTCTTCTTATGGAGAGGTAATTGGTGAACTCAGGAATCAGATTCAGCCATACTTACTGCTTGAACTGGATGTAGTCAATCCCATCCTAGATGGTGAAGCAACCTAAATAACAAAGCTGAACAAAGAAATAGTTACTAGCCAAACACTTACTTCTCTGTTCTTTGGAGATTTTTGAAATGACAACTGGAATGTTATGCTCTGCTCCTCCCTAGAAGGGAAAATAAATCACATATCACATTTTAATTCCCCTAAGTGCAGCAATTAATCAAGAAACTACCTAGGCAGGTTAAACAGACTTGTGTAAGCTTGTAGGTAGGTATGTAGGTAAGTAGGTAGTACTACCACGAAACTATCTACTTATTTAGAATATTGCTGAGCCATCTAACAATTAGTAACAATCAATTATGAAATGATTGCTCCTCAAAACAGAAAAGACTGATAAAGTCTTCAGAAACAGTATTTCTTTTGTCTTAAATACCTATTTAGGAATGCTATCTGACGTAGCAATTCTTATTAGGATTCCTAACACCTTATGATTATATACTTTGATGCTCTGGCTAACTGACTATACATGGTCAATGGAACATTCTCCCAGTTCAGAAACCTTTCTGAACGCTACGTGACCAGAGAAACATTTATCTCTAAGAATAGATAAAGAAAATTGGGATGCATATATGCATGGTGGGAATAGATCATCTGCATTTCCCAAGGAATATTAGACTCTTCTTTGTGTGAAATTGCATGCTGAACAACTTACATAGCAAAATTCAACCACATATGTTTTAATAGTGATTTTCCATTGGACCAGATATGGTGGGGAAAAAAGACAAGCAATCTAAACTTATGTAAAGGAAAACAAATAAATTCTTAGAATGGTATGAAAATCCTGTTGCAACATTACAGACATGAAATGCCTGAAAGCAGAAGTTGAAAGCTAAAATGAGTACACTAAAGAATATGTTATGATCCATTCATCTACTGAGGGGCATCTAGGTTGGTCCCATATCTTAACTATGGTAAATAATACTGTAATAAACATAGTTGTACTGGTAGCTTTAGTATGATCTTGTTTGTAGTACACAATGGAATTCTATGCCTCCATCAGAAAGAATGACATTGCTCATTTGTAAGGAAATGGAAAGACTTGGAAAAAATTATAATAAGTGTAGTGAAGAAACCCAAAGAAACCTAAGCCCTATTGTGTAGTCATGGAGATGGGAGGGCAGGGATGGTAGGGGAAAAACAAAGGAGGAGGCAACAATGCTTGATAAGAAATGTACTCATTACCTTGCTCATGTAATTGTAACCCTCCTCTGTACATATTCTCACAATAAAAAAAAATTTAAAAAGAATACATTATGAAGAAAAGAAGCTTAGTGCTTTTTAATACAAACAGTTAAAAAGATAGTCTAAAGGACATTGGAGTAGTATGCTGAGACTAGGTGATCCCCTCAGGATCCCATAGTGCAGTCCAAAAATTTCTTTAGAACAGTTTTTCCACATGTATATCTACTGAGTATGGCTAACTATAAGATAGACAACAATTGTCAAGAAAAGTGTGAATATTCAAATTTTTTTTGTTAATGAGAGTGGCTTCTACTGCTAAACTAGTGAAAAGGAAGATGACAAATACGATAAGTTCTACTCATTTTGAAACTGAAATTCATTATTCAAAATGTATTTTTGTTTTCCCTCCAACTCATTATCCATACATGCCAACCTCACTAAATCCAAATAAAGTCCCTGGCACAGACTACAAAGGTCCCAATTATGGTCTTGCCTTTTAGTTTACGTGTATCCAGAACACTAATCCTGTTTAACATGAGCCTGCCTCCCATCTGGTCAAAGAGACAGTGAGGGAATTGACACTGTGAAAGAAATCTACTGTGTACACAGTAAATTCTGCATACTGGGGAAGTTAGACCCTAAAGGTAGGTCCTTATTTCACTTTAAGATTTATTTGAAATAAGCACAGGCATTAAAATGAGGCTAGAACTAGTCCAAACTAATATATATGACTCCATTTTCAATCATCTATTCCTCATTTTATTATTTTCCTATAATACTTATCAGCTTCTAACTTTCTGATATATAGTATTTATCAAAAGTATTTATTGATTTTTCTAACTGCTATTTATTCTAAATACTATTTATCAGTTTCAAACATTTATCATTTAAAATATTTTTCCTTCCCTCATCCCTAATTTTTTGCTTGTTTTGAGCATTAGTGGAACCACAATGCCTGGAATAATGTCTTATTATGGTTGTTGATACTTCCTCAAGGTACATGGAAATTGCAAAAGCTATTTGTTCTACATCTACACATTTTAGAAGAAAAACCTGGTTAACTTAAATGAGCCATCAACCTGGTAAAGATAATATGAAAAAGTGAAATAAGTCAACTATGGAACTATATCAGGACAGATAGATGAGGAGACCTGGAAATTATATTATTTTTAATGAATATCAGACCAGGCTCAGAAATTAAGGACAGGAAGCAAACTGAAATGGCAGATAAGTTCCCCTTCTTCCACACTTCCTTTTTAATGTTAAGCTTAAAATATAGGATGGGCTATCTAAATGTGCTTTCTCCTTCAAAATGAAGAACAATTCTGGAATGAGCACAGACAGGAAGAATGAAAGGCATATCTGAAAAAAAGAAGTTCTGAAGATAACCTGTGTTTTAGCTGGGACTTGGGTATCTTGTAAACTGGCAAAGCAGGGTGTTTAAGACTCATTTGTAACAATGAGATGTACAAGACTCTATGTTGAAAAATGAACTTTACAATTTAGGTGGGGGTGGGGAGGGTGTTGTTGTGGAGGTGAGGGGAAGGGATGGTAGGGGACAAACAAAGGAGGAGGCAACAATGCTTGATAGGAAATGTACTCATTACCTTGCTCATGTAACTGTAACCCTTCTGTACTGTATTTTACAATAAAAATATATTAAAATAAAAAAAGAAATACACTGTTAAGGGAAATGGTGGGAAAAACTAGGTGCTCAAGGACACACACATGGTTAAGGACATTTCAGCTCTTCAGGATTTGGAGTGTGGGAGGAGTTCATGGTAATGACAATGGGATGACCTTAGGGAAAAGACCAAATTTGACTTGATTGACTTGATATACACAGTTGCCATCTTATTGAAGTATATGTATGAGATGTATGAAGACTTAGGAGTTTGTTGAGCACAGGACTCAAGGGGTTCTACTGTGCAGGTGTATCAGTTTGGTTAGAACTGTCCTAGAGTTTCTCTGCCTCTAGAGAGAAATTCTAATACTGACCACAAATTACCTCTTTCCCCCCAAGGAGGGAGGAGTGAGTCTTTGGGAGGTACTAAGGTGAGGATAGAGCCCCGAGGTATTACCTAAGGTGTGACTAGAAGTCAATTTTAGCATTATTTCCCAGTAGCTAACCTGTCTCAATCTTACCCATCCAGATCCTTAATCTAAGGAATGGAAGTTTTACACTGAAGTGTAACTGTCCAGCTAAAACTATAGAAAAGCTAGAGATATGAGCAGTCATTTTGAGTCTTTAAGTCCCAGGTCCTATGGGGAACAAGAAATGTTCTCCCTTTTTCTATTTCTCCCTACTGTTTCTGTTATACTAAAATAGATCCTTGCAAACTCTCTTTCCACGTGGACTCAAGGACCTGTGATTTTGCATGGAAGCAGAGGAAGCACTCATCTAGCCTCTGGTGACAAGCCCATAACTCACAGAGCTGAGCAGTGATGACATTATTATGACAGACTTGATTGTGGGAATTCCCTTCTTCCGGTTTTACAATTTACAATTGTATCTACTTCACTATACATGCAGAAGTTTTTTAATGCCTACATTAAATGGGGGTGAAAAGTAGGTAGGATTGAAACCAGCTATCCATATTTAAGGGTAGTTTAGCCTGAAAGTCACTTGGAAACATCCTGTTTTATCTCCTGAGTATGGGTATTACAAATGTACACATCATGTCAGCTCCAGATTCTCACCATCTGAGGTGACCCCATAACTCTCATTTCCCCTCCACACACAGATAAAGCAAGGTATAAGAAGTAACTACTTCATGAACATTTTCCTTCCTATATAAAGTTCTCCTAATATTTGAACAGCTTGATGTCAACCATGTTTTTCTTTTTCCTTTTAAAACAGACATTTGGAGCTCTGAAGTTTAAAACTAATATCAGAAAATAGCTTTATTGATTAGATAACAAAGTCTGAAACAAAAATTAGAAGATAAAATTGGAACTTTAAATGACTCTACCTTCATTTGTTGGATGAAATGTGAGGGTAACCTAGGCCTATTAAAGGTAATTAGATTTAGTTTAAGACTTAAATTGGGAAATTTAAAGTTTCCTAGGTAAGGGCAATATAATGTCCTTGCTTGCTTTAAAACAGGCAATAAGCTTCCAATTATTCCTGAAACCAAAATTAAGATCCTTATCAGTCCCTTGTTGCATGGTTTCACAGCCTAGTTCAGTTTCAGCTAGGACTCTCAGCTCTATGAGCACTAAAAGACATCAATATTTACTGTCTCTGTCTGGAATGATTTTTGCCTGCCCATATTTGAGACTTAGCTAAAATATTCCTAAGGCAGGCAGACAGGCAGGCAAGCAGGCAGACATCTATGTCTCTGACTTGAAGTAATCCACTTTGTAGCAGTAAATTAAGTCTGTGATTTACATTAGAATTTGATCAGCATGTTCTTTCTACTAGAGTATGAACAGCCAGGGATGAAGTCAGCCAGAGCTTTCTTCATCATTTTCCCAACACATCCCTGGCCCAAGGAGTGTGTTTGTGATCATAGGTTTGGAAAGTGTCTGGATTAACCTATGGTAGGATCCAGGATTAGGAAAAGTCATACATTTCTGCACAGGGAATCACAGATATCCAAACATGCCTCATTCCAATGTGTAGTGTTCTTTGTTCAAAACATAACTGATGTGGTAGCTAACTTCATAGGCACAAGGCTATGAGCTCCATCAAAAACTTTTGGAGAAGTATCTACAGGATGCTTTCACCAGTGTGATTGTGAAATACAACCAATCAACCCCAGTATCCTGTTAGAGCACTGGGAATCTTGCCAAATAAACCTTTTTGGTTTAATATTTTCATTATAGAATAAAAACAGATATATGGACCTCAAGATTTGCTCTTCCAGTAATAAGCAAGTTTCTTATAAGCAGAGGAAAAAAAGTAATCCCAGTTCAAAG